AAACAGAGAGAGAGAGAGAGAGAGAGAGAGAGAAAGAGAGAGAAAGAGAGAGACATAGAGACAGAGTAAGAGAGAGACAGAGAGACAGAGAAAGAGAGAGATAGAGAAGAGAAAGAAAGAGAGACAGAGAGACGAAAAAGAGAAAAAAAGAAAGAACGTTGGGGAGGAGAGGGGGTTAAGAGACGCATGGATGTACTTTAAACATGAAAGGACGTAGTCAGTAGGTGGGCTCACCACTAACACACTGCACTCACCAAGCACGCACATAGCCAACAGATCTTTAGGTCCCAATTTATTTCTTATCCATGTCTTTAGATCTTTTAGCGAAATTCGTACAAAACGAAAAGATGTCCGACCCCGCGCTAATTTCGCTATGTACGTGCTCGACTGTGGGTATGTGTGTGTGTGTGTGTGTGTGTGTGTGTGTGTGTGTGTGTGTGTGTGTGTGTGTGTGTGTGTGTCTAAGATTAAGCTGAAAATCCAAATCGAGACGTGGTGGATCTTGCAAATATATGCTTCTCTTCATCTAACGAAGCAAACAATCAAACACGTACATCCAGACAAACGTCTACAAACAACCAAACCAACAAACATTGTGTACTTGTCCTCCAGACCCGTACTGAAAGACGCAATCCCACTCATCTCGTTCTTCTGTGGGCAGTTGGTGGGTGCTCTGGTGTGGTTTGCTTCTTCTTTCCTTTCAAACATCTATTGTCCTTATCTCCCTTTCTTTTTTATGTTTGATACTCTCTTGTAACTCCTCTAATCTTCTGGCGCTCATATGACCTTATGCAGTTGCGAGCGCCGTAAAAACCTCTACTAAAACTTTTATAAACTCTGTGGCTTATTTCACAGGTACAAGTTCTGCAAACCCTCTGATGGCGAAGAGGAGGAGAACGCTAATGGCTCCAGTAAGGAGGACTAAGTTGTCGTCTCCCCCTCCACCCCCCCCACACCCTCTTCCACCTTCCCCGCCCGCCAAGCCATCATCCCTTCGTGGAATAACACCGACAGCTGCCATATTTTAGACGGAAGAAACTCAAGCCCTGTCAGAACTCTGCGACAGATGCAATGTGGGGGTCAAGAGTTACGTCACCGTACACCACACCTACTGTCTGATCACTGTAAGAAAGGAATCGTTTCAGTTTTTCCCAGCCCCCTCCGAGTTTTGATGAAGAAAAGACAGAAATAACACTGCTAGTTTTGTTGTGTTTTTACGCTCTGTCTCAAATGTTTGGCAAAGCAGCAAACCTAACCCAACCTAACCTAACACTCACACACACACACACACACACACACACACACACACACACACACTCACGCTCACGCACCTTCATCATTCTGCTGCCTCGAAGAGAGCGATAGGAGGATGGGTTGCTTTTTTTACGGCAGCGATGCGTTGTCGAGTCTGGAGGATAGAGGGACAGTGTTTCTCTCTCTCTCTCCCTGTGCCTGAGATGGGTGTGGACAGCTGTGTAACTGCGTGTGTGTGTGGGAACATCGACGAGTTCTCTATGCTCCATGGTACGAGGCCAGAGTTTTCTGATCTTGTGGTGATTGTCGCCGTTGCTGCTGCTGCTGTTGTTTTGAAGTGAGGAGTTTGCGGTACCGTACAGGGACTTTCACGACGGCACCTCGTCGGATTTGAACTTTCTCGGACAGAGCTGTTGTGTTTCTTCCTTGTTTGGATCAGTAATACAAGTGGGTGGTTTTTTCCTCGGTTTTTTTTTCCTTAAAAAAAACCATTTTTTCTTTGAGATTTATTTCTGTTTGTTTGGACAAGAAGAAAAAAGCCACCCCACCCATCAAGCAGCTCATGACGTGGGTCATGTGAGACGTTTCCACTGGTTCAGAATTTTTTTTTATCCGTTTCTTCTTCGTTGGACCAGACAGAAGCTCTTTGCTGATGTCGGAGGGAAAATGAAATGAGGAGAAACGTGAGCTACTGAAGAACATTTTAGCCCATGAGCCACTGAAGAACATTTTAGCCCATGAGCCACTGAAGAACATTTTAGCCCATGAGCTGCTGAAGAACATTTTTGCCCACGATGAAAGCATTTTGTTTGTGGAGCCTTTTATCCTATTCTAGTCATCTGGTTTAGGCTTGATTCTGTTATGTTTTGTTTGTGGGTTTTTTAAAATCCTGTTTGAAATGTTTTTGGCGGACCAATACTCATTATACTGACCAACTCAATTTGTCTTTGTTTTTATGAGAAAAGTATTCAAGTTATTCTTTTGTAACGTGAATATTTTGAGGCGATATGTTTGCCTGTACACACAGAGTGTAAGTAAGGGAGGTTACAATCTGTGGGGTCCTAGACACAACCCTGGCCCCAGCCCCGCAGATATTGATCGTATATATATATATACAAATACATATATACGTATCACAGACTTGTACACTTGGTAAATATATATATATATATTTTGATTTTTGGGGCAGGCTTTTTCTTTTGCTTTAATGCAGACAAATGTGTCCTTAGACCATGCTTATATTGAACAGAGATGCCGATTTGCCACATAGGTCCAGAAATCTACTTTTTGGGGGGAGGTTTTTTTTCTTAAGATTGTCTGGATTTTGCCCCTTGAACGAAAATAGTCTTGATACAAGATGTATTAGGCGATATGATTTATAAATTTTGAGACCTTGTGCACACGTTTTCATGAGGTTGAAAAAGTTCCGAGTGGTGGTTTTTTTCGGGGGGGTTAATTTTTTCCCCCCTCGTAATAGCCAAGTTGGCTCCTCTGATTTAAAATGAAAGTGCAAGTTTTGAGAATATATCCTTTATTGCGTTAAAAAAAACATGCACTGAAATGACAAACCATGTTGTTGCATAGACCAATAGTTTTCCAGTATTGTTTCTTATATTATATTATACATCGTACTATGTTATATATATATATATAGTATGTTATTCCGTTGCTTCCAATGTTCTGTTTTTCTCTTGAATTCCCGTTGTTACATATATATTTTGACTCTCAGAAATTCCACATGCAATTAATTCACAACTAGCAATGCCATGTCACCAGACTCCCACGTTCTCTGTTGCCACGGTGACCACAAGATTCTTACTTAATTACGTGACCCTCACGTTTATGCTTTTTTTAAAATTATAATGACTGCATCATGATCATCATTCTCGTTGATATTGTGTTGGGTTTTTTTGGGGGGGTACCCATTGTTTGCTTTACTCATTCTTCGACTTTTTCGGTCAAAAACGGTACCGTACTCTATATTCCCACACTTGAAAGTGTTTTTAACTGTACTGTTGTTTCTATTACCTCACATGTTTGTTGTTTTTTTGTTTTTTTTTTGTTTTTTTATATTGTGCCCTGGGGTTGAACAATAATTGTTCTTTAAAAAATTTTAACCCATATATTTGAAAATGACAGGACTCTTCCACTGATTATAAGAGGGACCAAATTATAATCCTTTGCAGTGAAAGAAGACTTTTGTGTGTGTCAGTATTCCCTGTTGTTGTCGTTGTTGTCGTTGTTGTTGTTGTTGTTGTTGTCCTCAACTTGTACATAGTTATATATGTCTGCAGGTGTATGTATATAGCTGTATGTCTTTTTAGCCGGATGTGGAACTCTGCTGTGTGTGCATTTGTGTGTGTGTGTGTGTGTGTGTGTGTGCTTGCACACATGTAATGCATTGTGTAAGTGTGTGCAAGTATGTGTGTGTGTGTGTGTGTAAGTACTAAGTGTGTGTATATATGTAGGAGAAAGTGACTGGCAACTACCGGCCGTACTTCCACTAAACAGCCTGATGTTCCGGCGATGTGTTCCATTAATGTCTATTCTGTGCCCAGTTGCGGCGGTGCTTCCCCCCCTTCCCCCAACCCCTCTCCCTCCTCCCCCCTTCCCCCTTTTCCCCCATACCATTTTCCCT